AGACCAAGATTGGGCAAAGATTAAGAGTTTCATGTGGCTAAAGATAGGCAACATGGTAGCTGACAGTGTTGAAGACACTGGAGATACTGTACGTACCCTACGAATTCATCCACTCCATGCAACTTTATTTATGTGCTAACCTTTCGTATAGTGGGCTAGAAGTGTTGGTTTTGATGAAGCGTGGAAGGATTATGTGGACAGACCAAGACAGGTACATTTGTAGGTGATCAAGTTGTGCCACATTCTTTCTTTATTATACTATGATTCTTGGGCTTTCAATGTAGTAGTTGTTAATGAAGCAATTTTTCCTGGGAGAATCTGGCATTGCTTGAACAAATATGCAACCCTAATCTTGTGTTATGATATCGTTATGGTGATCATTTGATCTCTATGTTATGCATGTCAAATGCTGTGCTTCACACTTAGAATTTGACCTCTAGTACAATCAATGAAGGTCACCCTATTGTGAAAAGCTCTTTTCTCTGATCCCACATGCAATTACTATCCACAGTATCTTGCACATGTAAGGGCTTTTTGTGAGAGCTTTACCGTTTTGGTACCATCAAAGATTAGGGATTTTGTGTGAACTCCAGCTGTATGCATCCTATGTATCATTTAATACTCCACACAATATATGACGTTTGACTGCAGATGATATGACAGTTTCAAACAAGACACACGGTGTAGTCATGTCAACATAGTACTTCTAAACAGACTGGCTGCCGACATCGCCCTTTTAGTCTCATCTGATAGTTACCAAATATTCATCCGATGATGTAAAGCCCTTTCACAGCTTCGGACTCTATCCGATAACGGGCCAAAGGGTAAAGCCTTATTGATACAAAATTGTCTAGAACTTTTCTTCACCTTTGCAATCATTGAAGGGGTGAAGGGATGAGTGGTCACGACATCACTTACTTTATCATGGTTGCCACCTTTGTAGCTGCCCGGGTGCTCAACTTTGCTTCACTTTATAAAAAAACAATTTTGTACTTGCCTTGATTTCTCCTCCCATGTATTATACAAGATTGCCTTGCATCTTCATGATTTGAGATTTCTTTCTATTCCTCAATTTAATTCTTTGCTTTGCACATCTCTTTGCTTGGTAAATGCAGTTGAGATGATGCAAACTACCATGTCCACTTCAAGCTCTGGCTCAGAGACTCATTGGTTCGAAAATGTAGTTGTGCTTGATCTGGATGTCGAAGGACAAGAGGTCAAAAAACAACCTGTTGTAAATGCTCCATCCACTCCATCCACTCCAGCTCGCATCACCCGTTCTCAATCTCTTACCCGCCTGGGCATCCAGCAGAAGTTCACGCACCCAAAGTCGCATTTGCAAACCACAGAAGCTGATGTTGTCGATTTTGATGGTGCCGATGATCCTGTAAGTGCTTCATTCCATGCTCGTGAAATCATGAACTTGGCAATGCTGATAGAAATAATTAGTATCAACCTCTAAATTGGCCATTCAGAAAGAAGCTGATCACTACATTTGTCTATGGCTTGTTCACCATGACTTCGACCTGGGCAAGTTCTGTATACAGTCCTGCTATTAACCAAGTTGCAGCTGAATTTAACGTTGCACCTGAGGTTTGTTACCCCTGGAACTATGAGAAGCTAAAGTGAATGCCATTAACAAAGAGTAGGTCAGTCTGCTGGGTGTAAGCTTCTTACTGCTGGGATTTGGATTTGGTGAGATATTCCTTCACTAGCATAAAGTGAATAATTAAGCTAACTGATCTTTGTGATGCAGGTCCTCTGCTATGGGCTCCTCTTTCTGAAATGTAAGTTATCGGAAAGTCAACTTCGGAGTCGTGTGTGCTGTACTATACTGCTGCGATACCAACCAGGTCAATTCACCCACTTGTTTGTTACCAATACTAACAGCCGATTAGTTATGGCAGAAAGGCTGCAGTCTTAACCCCAGGTAAGTAATTCTGTTTTGCAAGTAGCCAAAAGCTTAGCCTGCACTCTTCTCCCTTCACCATGCAGAACCACAGCTAATGTATCAAATAGTTTTCATCTCAGCATGCTTTTCATTTGGTTCTGCCACAGCAAAAGACATCCAGACGCTGCTCTTGACACGATTCTTTGCTGGTATCTTCGGAGCTGCTCCTGTAAGAGACCTCACCTCGAACTCAACAAACTCCTCTGACATCTTAATTAGGTAACAAATACCGGCGGCGTCCTGTCTGATATCTGGGCACCCCAATCGCGAGGAACAGCTATAGTCGGATATGCATTTGCTGTTGTTGGTGGTGAGTACGTGCGTCCTTTCCATATTTCCAATTCTCACCAATTCAAGGTCCAACCATGGGTCCCATTGTGGGAGGAGCCATTACATCAAGCTATCTAGGATGGAGATGGACAGAATATGTAAGTCCTCAGCCCCCTAAATTATGTAGTTCTTGTCTCTAACTCCTTGAAAGATTACCGGAATCATGCAAATGGCAGTCTTACTCCTTGGTGCTCTTGTCCTTAACGAAACCTATCCAGACGCACTCCTGGTCGCCAAGGCTCGTCGTCTCCGTCACGATACTGGAAATTGGGCTTTACATGCCAGACACGAAGAGCGCAGTTTCAGCATTAAAGAGATGGTACACAAGTTCTTGATGCGACCATTTCGCTTACTAGGGACCCCGATTTGTTTTCTTATGGTTTTGTATGCTTCATTTGTTTATGGCATTCTCTATTTGTAAGTCAGAACCGAGTATTGTTTTTGGACATCCGTTAATGGATTGCTAGGTGCCTGGCTGCGATTCCCGTACAATTTGCATTGGCTAGAGGTTATGGACCTGTAACTTCAGAGTAAGTTTGCCTCCGACTTGACGATAACCATATGGCAGATGTTGTTCTAATCTCTTTCCTCACAACAGACTTCCATTTCTTGCACTTCTCCTAGGTACAATCTTCGGTGGGACTGCAAACATTCTGTAAGTTGTTGATCTATTTTCAAACCATATCTACTAACCAACGAACCCCAGCAACAACAAGTTCTATACCCGCAAGTTTGAAGCAAATGATAACCGACCCGTCCCCGAAGCTCGCCTGCCTCCAATGATGATCGGCAGTGTATTCTTCGCAGCAGGCCTCTTCGTCTTTGGCTGGACGTCCGCCCCAAGCATCCATTGGGTAGCTCCATGCATCGGTCTCATATTCATGGGATTTGGCTTCTTTACCATTTTCCAATCTGCGCTCAACTATCTCATCGACACTTTCTCCTCGTGTGCAGCAAGTGCGGTTGCGGCCCAAACATTTGTACGAGCCATCTTTGCTGCCTTGTTTCCCCTGTTTGTTACTCCCATGTTTCAGGGTTTGGGTATTGAATGGGGAAGTAGTGTGTTAGGTTTTGTAGCAACTGTGCTTATACCCATCCCGTTCTTGTTTTATGTCTATGGGAAGAGAATTAGAATGAAGGGTAAATTCACCACCAAGTAGCTAGTGTGAATGCATTCACTATACTACGATGACGGAGAATATTTGCTCGGAAATTGTCACTACCTGATTGATTATAGTTGAAAATTCGGTGTCCTATGGATACTTGATTCATTTTAGATAGGTTCCTAGACAGCTTGACCGATTATGGTTGATAGTCTGGCGCTCTATAGATACTTGTCTCATCAATATGGAGATAGCTTGATTGCACATCAGCAACGTAAGCATAGAATCTCCGGGATATAAGAATGTAACTCATAAAGTCACCCAAGCTCGTTCCTGAATATGTGCTTGTGCCGAATGCTACTCGCATGTGCTCTCTACTAAACACAACAAGTCAGCCGGGTGTCGCGAACATATATGACAAAAGACTCAAACCATCACATAATACTGAACCGTCAGAGCCAAAACCAACGCTCGTGAGGAGTGAAATTAGTCATTGATCCCAAGGTCATAACTATACAGACATATCAACATAACCACTTTAAGCCCATCCAAGCTTGCCCATAACTCCAATCCCATGCGTAAGCTGTTCGCAGCATATTATACATATCTAAACCGCTCCATTTAAAGTTCTAATCCACAATTCCCACCCTCCAAATATCTCCTTAATCCCCATCACTCGGCCTTCTCATATAACTATCGATCGCCAAACTAAAAGCTGCGAACCCCGCACACCCGACTGCGGCAGCTTGTGGTCCCGCCGGGGCCGCCAGCACTCCTCCGGTAATACATCCTGCAATAACCCCATTCTTCAGATCATTTTTTGCTCTGAAACCTTCAACACAACACTCTGTGCCTGCAAAGATAGCGCCCACTTTGCCGAAATTCTTGGCCGAAGAATAGGAGCGATTACCCATGTCTTTGAGACCTCGTTTGAGTTGTTCGCGCAAGGGAAGCGATGTGATTTCTGCAGCTGTGGAGGACGTGTGAATGGGAGTGTCGTATTGCATCTGTGTGGGAAGGTTAGTCATTGACGTAGGAAGAAAGGTAGACAAGGCGGGGCAAAACATACAGATGCCATGAAGAGACCAAAGGCACCACCGAGGGCAAATCCCATTACACCCGAGACGACAGTCTTGCCCGGACAGGACTCCATTATCATTTGCATCTATCAGACATTATCAGTATTCATTCGATTCACTTTGACAGTTTCCCATAGCAAGGCTCTGCTTATTCCATGCAGCAATGCTAATTAATTGTAACCGGAGAGCAAACATACATTTTTAACAGCAGCAGCGGTCGAAGGGTCAACACCCTGCTGGCCCCCTCCTGGAGGATTAAATGCTGGCCCATTCATTTTGAATAATAGTAGTTGCGATATTCTTCGTCAAGGGAAAAGGCAGAATACAAAGATGGGTTTCCTTGAGATGTAATACACCGAGAATTTTTTTTGGCGAGGCTGAAGGTTGGCCTTGCACAGTCTGAAGCCTCGCGTTTTGCATAAGTACCCGAGTCTTGCCAAGTCGATTATGATTTCGTCTCGCGAAAAGGGGGATGTCTTGAAGAGATATTCATTATATATCATTCTAGTTATTTTTAGGATATAATTAGGACTATGGGCTAAGCTAGCTTTAATTGTCGGTATAATTCGCTAGGCTCTTTAGACACAAGGGCGACCCTAGGTACCTAGGGAATTCACATTATGATAAGTATAATCCTTTACATCATTACTGCTTTCCATAAGCTATCTATCGACACGGGCTTTGAGTGTTCATATAAAATCTCATCTAAACCTCAGCATGAAGACAACGTCATCGCTGATAGCGTGCAACGCTCCTGTAAACGCCATTTTCCTGGTATAATCCCGTCTATTCCTATCCCAATTGCGATTTCTCGTCAAACAACTTTTCCAATACCAATGTGCTCTCAAAGCAATTGTATCACATCCGTTCCCATGAACATCACGCTTTCATTTCCACCCAAGATTGGAATTCGAAGATTATGAAGCTTGGTATACAGTGAAGTTATTGAATTGCCAGTAAGCATCAGTGAATGCCGTTGCGTTGTTAGCGACGTAGTCAGTGCAAGTACCGGGACCTATTGTATGATTAGTATAGGAATATCAAAAGAGGCCAGAGGAGAGCGTACAATCAACATCATATACACTTTGGGTACCAGCCCAACTCCCGCACAAATCAATGTTGACAATGATACTTTGATTCTTGAAGTGATTGCCAATGTTGCAATCCGTGCTGGGGAAATCGGCAGTAGCTTCCGACCAAGTCGATGGGTCTGGGCTACCAGATGAAATATCGGTTGGAATAGCATCTCGTCCGAATTGCCACATTCGGATGCCCGCGGTACGTAGTTCCATCGCCATAACTCCACCTCCATTTGAATTGAAATCCGCACCGAAGGTTCCTGCAGAGTCATACACACCACATCCAGCGTTGGAATTCGTGCTATTCAAGCATGAAGATTGAATGGATTTTCCAGTCTCTTTGCGCTTGACGTCCATGGAGCAGCCTGACGTAGTATGGAGGGTCATTTGATTTTTTGTAGAGCTCACAACGTTGACCGCCTCCATGATATCGATCTCTCCATTTGTTGGCCAATTGTTTGGATCACTTAGCCACAGTGCAGGCCATGTAGCACAGCCAATGGGTGTGTGGACAATATCGAAGATGAATAGACCGTCAGTGTATTGTGTCTTGGACTCAATTCGAACTGAGAAGCGGCCAGTAGATGCATTTGGGTTACTGTCAGCTGTAACAGATGTGTCGACTCTGATAACTGCAGAACTTGACGAAGCATATGTCAAATTGTATTGAGCGGCAACTTCGGAATCAACATAATGAACGAAACCGGCTGATGGATCGTACGTATTGAAGTAATCGAAGTTATCGAAGAAGTCAGTCCCTGAGTCTTTGGTGGATGTTAGCAAGATACACTATGCCAGGGCCATCTCGTTCAATCTCTAGTCACACAACCATAGGGATAGGTCTAGAACAATCACCGCTAACTCCACTTGGAGGTGATGAAGCCTCACTTCTCGGATATCAAAAGTGTTGGTGCATTCGAAGTTGTTGGGTGTGCAACATCACACAAAAGAAGACAACTTACAAGTATCCTTCAGTGTATAGTTCAATTGTGAGTAATTTGGATAAGCATTCTTTTTTGAACCTTCCACAGCAGCCACGACGATGATAACGATCAATACAATGATTCCTGCACCAAAAATTGCCCACTTCTTCTTACTCCACGCTCTCATATCCCACCATCTTGGTGCCAAGGAACTTGGATCATCAACCTCATATTTGGGTGGTGAGCCCGACGGGATATTCGTATTTCTCATCTTCCCAACTGTAGCGACTGATATTGGCTTTCTATTCAACGATCGTTTATCTTCCTTTGATTCCCGAAGTGATCCTTCGACGTCCAGTCTGAATGTTTTGTTTCCAAGAGAAGGAAATAAAAAAACTACTTTTATTTCGTATATGCTTGACTAGCTTGAGTGATTTCTAATAATGCAAAATTCAAAAGCCGCAATAAGTTCAAGATGAGCGACACACTTGTATATATACCTTGCCTGAACAGCCTACTTTGTCTTATCTAACCAACTCCAAAAAGGCCGGATAATTATGGAGATTAGAGATGTGAAAGATACTCGTAGGCTGAGCCAGTGAGAAAATTCGGTCTCCCCACTTTGGGACCTGTAACCTGTACCAAGCTGGCAGGGCGTTTTGGTCGCAATCAGGTACCTAGAAGGGATACGATGGCGAGGATGGTTGGGAAAAGAAGGTTTGATGGATATGCGGGCTGACAAGCCTCGTGTAAAGAAGCATGGGTCGACGCGGACAAAGCGAACGAAGCGAACATACGAGCTTAAGCTTGTAGAGTAGCTAGAAAGCTTAGAGAAAGAGTAATCCGATGGAAGTGAGAAACGTCAAGTTGATTAGATTCGAACAGGAAAGAAGCATATCACCTAGCTTTTGAATTAAGCTAAACTAGCGGATGGACTGTATTGTAAGATAAAGATCGATCACAGCTACACAACTCAACATGAGAGTTATTGATCTCCAATGCCAAAACTGTTGTTGTCTCGACCGTCTCAAAATAACAAAACCTTCTAACATGTGCCGCCAACAAACAACTCGGTACTTTCCAATGCCTGTCAACCCACTCCTTCCCTCGTCAGGACTCACTCAGTACAGGGCTCTCCCCTCCAATGACGAATTATCTGTTCATACTACTCCAGTACTGTGGGGGGGTTCATGAACTTCAATCAAGAATCATGATGTTGCCATGTTGGAAGACGAAGATCATCAAGTTCGTTCGGCCAATATAAAGGTTGATAGAGAACATAAGTTGGGATAAATATTGGATATTGTTTCAATTATAAAACGAAATGCCAACTCAGACTTCAATTGAGTTTAAAGTCGGAGATATAATACGAATACTTTGTTTTCCTTGATAATTCAGATAAGCAAAGATCTAATCATAGTTTTTCTTCTTCAGTTGCATGGAGTACCGGTAGGTCTAGTTTTGGTGGTTCTAGCTCTAGCTCCAGACCCTATTTTTAGTGAGGTGTGAAAAGTCTCGGCAGGTGCGAGTCTGGTAGAGTGAGCAGGGCAGGGAAGGGCAGGGCATGGCGAAGAAGGAGAAAATGAAGAATTACTATTAATTGAACCAGCTGCTTGGGAAGTGCCTGTATGTACCTATGTACGTACCACTTCAAGACCCAAGAGAGATATCCTGCTTGCTACCGAACTACCGAACTACCGGCTGCCATATATCATTCATTGACTTCACACCGGCAGATCTTCTCTTGAAATGCATTCATCACCACAAACCTTCGTCACGCTTGCTCAGAAGCACTCACCAGTAGACTTCCCAAGAATAAAGCTCTAATCTCTACCTTCCCAACCCAGGATTCCCACAATTCACAAGATCCAAAAAGAAGCATGCATCAATCAAAAGCCAAAAGCAAAGTCGTCGTACCTTTCCAAAATTGTCGTCGTCGAAAGCCGCGTAATCAAGAGCTCAACCCTTTCACTAGTGACATTCCGAGGCCAACGACTAATAACTATCCACTATTTTTGGGGAATAGAAAAGGCGTTTTAACGATTCATATAACACGCGTATAATGTTACCCAGTAATTGAGTTTACGGGGAAATCTAAATTAGAGATACGTAAGTCGGTACAGTACAATAGAGAAAGACGTATGGGTACAACAAAGCTTTAATGCAAGGATCTCGGATTCTGTATGATAAATGTCCTCCATCCATCGAAGTGTAGGTGAAAGCTTGGGTGTAGTTGGGAGATTTGGGTTATATGAGCAAGAATTCATTATATACAAATATGGTCCGCTTGAAGTTGGGCCAACACATCTGTTAATATTGACTACTCGAAGTTGGATGATGCTTCTGAGAGATCTTGCATGCTGTAGTATGACAGACCAATGTGCTTGGAAATCTTATTATTGAGAAAGTAGATTCATCAACAACTCTCTACCAAAAGGTGCAAAGCAAAACACAAAAGACAATCTAGAATCAATCAAACACGGACATCCATTTGTCAATGTACGAATATCTAGGCCATGCTTTATACACGGATTGCCCCAATCGTATAGATTATCTATAAATACAATGCTGTCCATGCATTCCCATGATTGTCCATCCATTTAATCATCGTCCTCATCCACTCTTGCCCGTTTGTTGGACCTTCCCTCGCCTTCCTGTAACCCATACTCTCTTTTATTAGAACTTTCACCGACCTTGCTCAGAAAATCGTCGACATTGAAAACGTCGCCAGCATCCTTTTCAAACTGCACTGGTCCCTCCCTCGCCTGTTCACCCCTCAAATTAGCTTCATCCCCACTCGTGACCAAGGGGAAATTTCTTACCTCAACATCTGCTGCACCTTGAAAGGTTCCCTTTCCAAGGGCATCCGCAAACCTGTTACTTTTCTGAATCTTCGCCATCTCACCCTCAGCTGCTGCTTCATCATCATCGTCATCCATATTTTGCCGTGGTCGATAAATGCTACTAATGGCATCTTGGGCCGCAAAAAGAGGTTTATCATAGGCTTGATCCTCGTTGAATCCACTATCAAACCCACTTGTCCGGTTGAATAATCTGGAATCAAACATAGTTTCGGTTGATTGCGTAGGTTTTGCTAAGCCTAAAGCGACCTTTTCTGAGATATCTCGATTCTGCTCTCGCGCCATCATTTGAATCCTCCTCTCTGTGCCCATGCGCGACTGTCGTAATTTTCGTTCTTCATCCCTTCGTTTCTCTTGGCGCATCTTTTCTCGCTCTCTGAATTCTTCATCGTCGCTGTTGGATCGATCAGACTCGGATTCACTATAGCTTCCAGAACGAGATCTTGACGATCTCGAGTCTCGCCTTCGGGAGCCAGCGCCGACTCCAGCCCTCTCTTCTCGTGCCTTCTGTGCTAACATACGAAGATGATCTTCTTTTTGTGCCTTCTCTTTCTCTGCTAGCCTTTGTTGCATTAATGCTCTCTGCTTGACTTCTTCTCGTGCGTGCCTATCTGCCGTGAAGAGAGCTTCTGCAAACTGTGCGAATTTATCATTAATAGTGACATCCTGTAATCCTCGTCCATCTGCAGCCAATCTTTTGTCAAGTGGAACCGTGTAACCCTTAGGATTCTTCCAGTTCGATACAGGAGGTGGAATTTTCCAAGCTTCTTGATCCTCCGCAGTCAATTTTCGTGGAGGCGAATGCATGACCGGAGCCGGAGGGCTTGGAGGACCACGGGGAATCTTCTTATGCTTGAATTTGGGAGGCTCCATAGGGTCCTGCTGTCTTTCCACAATCTTCATGATTCGATCATTTTTCCTTGAGTTATCCCCCATCTGATTCGCCGGGGTATATCTGACATAAGTAGGGTCCTTTCTTGCCCCGACATTTACGTTCTTAGGTTTTTGTGCAGCTACCGCACCGCTGACCAGAGTTGCCAAGGCATTCTTCGTTCGCTCGGTAGAAGCCGCAACCTCTTCTTCACTTGGTCTATCTAAATTAATGTCGCCGGCATCAGCTCGCTGTCGAAGAGGTATAAGGTCCTTGAAAGAGGCGTGTACTATTCGTTTATCATTATGGCCTTGCCGTGCTATAGCATCGTACTTGACTTTCCCCTCGCCGTCGACTTGAAGGGCCAGCGCATTATTCGATGAAGTAGATTTGCGTCCCATGTCTAAAGGATACTGTGCGACTGGAATTTCTGGGAAAGCACCTCCATCGCCAAAGTCTTCTTGTCCTCGTGGCCGCCATCCTGTTCGATTGCCATATGGTGGAGGTCCGGTTTTCTGTGAACGTGATGTATTGTTAGAAGAAACCTCTAGTTGCTCAAGATTTGAAAGACCAACCTTTAATACAATTTGGGTATCATCCAAAGCGCCTGCGCCTAGGATTCGAGGGCCTCTCTGTTGCGCATGTTGTGGAATATCCTCTTCTTCACCTGTATATTTTGGTTTTGGCAATGCCCGTGATAAAGAAGCTGCCATTGATGCGAGAATGTGTAGACAGGCAGGATTTGATCGTGTTGAGGTGGTTTGGAAGATACAAAAACACGATATTGAATTGGTTTTATAAGCTTGTGCCTATCGTGAATCGATAAATGTCAAATTGTCGCGATTCTCATCCATGCTACGTCACGCTAACCTCATTGACACTAGTTTATACATGTATGTGAGATAGAGGTTATACAATCCTATATATATATAAAATGCCTAATAAGTACCTAGCTAATGAATTGTAAAATGATAAGTGATACATGATTGACTTGCATATCTAGCTAAATTGGTACGATAGCTTACCTATTTAGTATTGTCGAGTACTGTCGAAATGTTCAACAGTCTTGTGTGTTTAGACAAGGCATTGGAGACTATGAATTAATTCACACATACTTCTAATAGACATTGGGATGGAGTAATACAATCAATTAACTTGACTTTAATCATATTGAGCATCAATTTTGTTAAGTGTTTTTAGTACACAGAACCCCTCTTCGGACCCAGAATCATTTCAACCATCTTCAAAGCCATCCCAGACCCAATTCGTTCAAACATAACCCTTTCTGGCACCCTAATCCCTATCGTTAGAATCTCTCTGTGTATATTGAAGTTAGGAATGCGTACCTGGAAGAAGAATCGAACAATAAAGACTTGTAGCGCAGCCATGCACATCATCATCAAGCTTTCAATAACACTAAAGTTGAAAATCCTCCTCTCAGTACTTCTCACTGTGCTAAAGTTGCGGTTTTCTCTTGTGCGGAAGTATTTTTGGTTTCTTGTAATGGTAGAGAGCTGGCCTGAGAGCTTAAAGATAGATTCTTCCAATGCGGACGTTTGTTCGGGAGTTGTGCCTTGTTTCGAGGGTATCGAAGCTCGAGGTTCGTTCTCAACCTATAGCAGTAATGGACATGTCAGTGATAGTTTCTGGATTCGCAATTCGCGGAGTGTAAACGTACAGCGATTTCGAAGTCGACAAACTTTTCTGCGAAAGT